TTTTTTTTTTTTTTTTTTTTTTTCTATTATTTATTTAGAATTATAATCGATCGGTTTTTTCTTACTTGTGTTCATACAAGTTTTGTATAAATCTCTAGCCAATTTAACCGGTCTCAAATTGTTTTCATCGTCTGATTCCTCGAGTAAAATTCTCAGATTTTCTAATAATCGTTCCCTGAGAAAGCTCAATTGATCCCAAGAAGTTTGACTCTGCGGTATAGGATTTTTTGAAATCCAACCGCTGCAAGCAAATTTGTAGAAATCTTGGCAAGGATCTACCGATCTGTTCATCGCATCTATTATTCTGGCGGCTGGAACGATCGATAAATTTTATTTTCATATTAAATATGATTATGCGATTATCATTGTGAATAGACGCAAGATCAATATGAATATAAATTATCTTTATGTAAGGATAATTCAAATTGAAATGTAATATTTCTTTGTTTCGATTACATTACAAGGCTAACTGAAGGTGGGGAAAAGAAGGAAAACCTTGATTTCACGGTACCTGTCCTCACGCATTCCTCCGTCTGGCACATCTCATTGTATTTCTTTTTATGAAAAATAGATATTTGCAAGGCTAGCGTTACGAGCAAACCAACCACGATTACAGTTAATATACCAATGATTATAACCAATTTTCTTCCATTCTTAATTAATTTCTTCTTACCCTTTGCCTCGTATTGCCTGTTAATATAATACATCGATATTTTATGATGCAAATTTATTTCTAAAGGCATAAACTGATAATTACCACGAAAGTATAGAGTCATTTGCCGTGTATCTTTCATTATTCATTTCCGGATCGTTTACCTATAAAAATAAAAAAAATAATAATGATTTTATCTAATAAAGGCAAGATTATATAATATTATAACATTGCAAGAAATTGTTGGCATGTATCCTTTATAATTGTCTCTATAATTGCAATCTAAAAAAGCAACAAAATAGATACCGTATCCCATTTCGATGATGTTACGCTTAAAGATCGATGTACTCTCACCTTGGCCTAGAATTGTTGAAATTACTTTAGCATTATTTCCCCTCCCTTTAATCTAGATTCCAACCTTTACTTCTTTTCCCATTTATAGAGTAAATAAGGACATGGAATAATTATGTATAGATATTACCACCATTAGTAAACTATTAGTAAGTCTTTTAACTAATCTTTTATAATTTATTGGGAAACAAATGTTCATATCATCAACATTGTAAAATCTAACGAAAAATGAAGAAATATTTTTGATTACCGGATACCATAACATAAAAAATTTTAATCATCAGTTGTATTGTTAATTGATAATTTACAAGTACGCTATATCTTTGAACAAATGATCCAGATACTACAATAGCTCAGAATGCAATCTCTGGAATAAAGTAAGA